AGCAATGGGGCCCAGATTTATCCTTCTGCCTAAAACAACTAAAAAAGTAGACAAAATATATGAAAGAATGGTCCTCAAGACATTGGACATAGACCATAAAGGACAGTGATCCCTGAGCATGGGGAACAACCAAGCTAAGCTCTGGCCCCTTACTGCCTGAAGAAAGATTTTAGGCTGAGCACAGGGCGGAGTCCTCAAGAGGAGACAGCTGCAGAGAGTGAGCTCTGGAGATCTGCAGAGCTTCTCCTCAAGCTCTCAGCAGAGTACTGATTGATTATCACATACACGTGAGGAAACTAACTGAAGCTGGGGAAAGAACCACAACAGTCCTCGGAGATCAGGCAGGGATGGGAATAGTGCTGTTTCCATCTGCCAGAGAGGAGAACCTCATAATCAGGAGTATTGGTTAGAGTACAAAGACAGGTCTTGCTTCAGTAAAAGGGTCTTGCCTCAGCACTTGATTGTCCTCATGTGTAACCTGTGTTGTGGACAAGAAGCCACTGTCAGGGGAGAATGTGGAGAGATAGAATGGTTTCCTAAAGGCAAAGGTGTCAGACAAGGGTGCATTTTATCTCCTTATCCGTTTAGTCTGTATGCAGAACATATCATATGAAAAGCTGGGCTAGAATCAGATGAAGGAGGAGTGAAAATTGGTGGAAGAAATATCAACAATCTAAGGTATGCAGAAGATACCATCTTCCTGACAGAAAGCAGCAATGACTTGAAACAACTTCTGACAAAAGTAAAAGAAGAAAGTGCCAAAACAGGACTGCATTTGGACATCAAGAAGACAAAATTATGACTACAAAAGAACTACACAGTTTTAACATAGAGAATAAGACACTGAAATTATTAAAGATTTTGTTTACCTTGGTTCAGTTTTCAATTTAAATGAAGACTGCAGCCAAGAAATCAAGTCTCAGAAATCCAAGTCTCAGAAGACTGAGACTTGGAAAGGCAGCAATAAAGAATTAGGAAAGATCATCAAGTGTAAGGAAATTCATTAGAGACCAAGGCCAAGATTATCCACACCCTCGTATTCCCAATTACTATGCACGGGTGCAAAAGCTGAAGAGTGAAGAAGGCTGTTGGGGAAAAAAATTGATTCATTTGAAATACGTTGTTGGAGGAGAGCTCTATGGGTACCCTGGACTGCCAGAAAGATGAACAAGTGAGTCCTAGAGCAAATTAAGCCTGAACTATTGCTGGAGGCAAAAATGATAAAACTGAGGCTGTCCTACTTTGGGCACATCATGAGAAGGCATGATTCTTTGGAAAAGACAATGATGCTGGGAAAAGTCAAAGGCAGTAGGAAAAGAGGAAGACCAAATCTGAGAAGGACTGACTCCATAAAGGAAGCCATAGGCATGAATCTACAGAAGCTGAGTAGGGCTATTGAGGACAGGACATTGTGGACATCACTCATTCACAGGGTTGCCAGGAATCAGAGCCGACTTCATGGCATGTAACAACTTAACTGCATCCCAGGACAAATATCAAGAATATTTATAGGAATACCAAAATATCCAGTACCCAACAAGGTAAAATTTACAATATTTGACATTCAATAAAAAATTACCAGGCGTGCAAAGAAGCAGAAAAATATAACCCCGGATGAGAAGAAAAATCAATCAACTAAAACTGACTGAGAAATGATAGAATCAGTGGACAAGGACACTAAAACAGTTATTATGACTGTATTTCATATGTTCAGAAGCTAGAGGAAAGACTGAATTGTTAATAGAGACATGGAAGATATAAAAAAAGACCCAAATTAAACTTCTAGAGATGAAAACTACATTTTCTTAAAGAAAAATGCATTGGGTGGGATTAACAAGAAATTACACATTTCAGAAGAAAAGATTAGTGAACTTAAAGGTAAAGCAATAGAAACTACCCAAAATGAAACACAGAGAAAAAAGTCTGAAGAAAAAATTAACAGAAGTAATAAGTGACTTTAGCAAGGTTGTAGGATACAAGCTCATTATACAAAAATCAATTGTATTTTTATATAGCAACAAACTATTGGAAATTTAAAAAACAATATCATTTATAATAGCATAAAATTATGAACTACGTAAGGATATACTGAGAAAAGATGTATTAGACCTGGAGACCGAAAACTACAAAACACTGCTGAGAGAAATTAAAGAAGACCGTAGCAAATTGAGAAAAATATTGTGTTAATGGGTTGGAAGACACAATATTGTTAAGATGTCAGTCCTCCCTAAATTGATCTATAATTCAACACAATGCTATTAAATCACCAGTACCCTTTTTTTTTTTTTGCAGAAATTGACAAACTAATTCTAAAAGTCAATAACCTAAGAGAGCCAATACAAGTTTGAAAAAGAAGAACAAATTTGGATGGATAACACTACCTGATTTCAAGATTTATTATAAAGCTATATTTATCAAAACAGTGTTGTATTGGCATAAATATATACAAAAATATCAATGAAATAAAATAGATAAATAAAATAAAATATATGATCAAATATTCTTCAACAAAGTTGCACAAATGATGCTGGAACAATTGGATATACATAGGCAAAAAAACAATCACCACCACTACCACCATCAACAGAAATACTTTAATCCTTATCTCACACTATAAACAAAAATTAACTCAAAAATCATAGTCCCAAATCTAAGAAAACATAAGAGAAAATCTTTGTGACCTTGGGTTAGGCAAATATTTCTTAGTTATGACACTAAAAGTATTATCCATAAAATAAAAAATTGAAAAACTGGAGTTCATCAAAATTAAAAACTCCTGCATTTTGAAAGACACTGTAGAAAGAATGAAAAGACCAATCACATACTACAAGAAAATGTTTTCAAATCATGTATATGGTAAAGGATTTGTATCCAGAATATATAAAAACTCTCTACAAAATAACATATAAAAAACTACCCCAATAAAAAGATGGGCAAAAGATTTGAACAATACTTGAAAAGATATATGGATGGCAAATAAGCACATGAAAAGATGCTCAACATCATTAATCATTAGGGAAATGAAAATTAAAACCACACCTAATATAATGTCTAACACAAAAAAGACTGATCATATCAAGTTCATGAGGATATAGAACAACTGGAATGCTCACACATTGCTGGTGGGAATGTAAAATGGGACAACCAGTTTGGAAAACAGTTGGGAAGTTTCTTAAAAAGTTGAATATACACCTATCATATAGCCCAGCCACTCCATTCCTAAATATTTATCCAAGAGAGAAGAAAGCATATGTTTACACATAGATCTGTATACAAACGGTCAAAGCAGCTTCATTTGTAACACCTGAAAAATGGAAGCAACCCAAATGTCTATCAACAAGTGGATGGAAACAGTGAACAAATTGTTGCATATTCACACAATGAAATATAACTCAGTAATAAAATGTAATGAACTACCAACACACACTATGACATGGAGAATCACAAATTAATTATCCTGGGTGAAAGAAATCAGACCCCCTTCCTCCCCCCAAAAAAGTACATTCTAAATAATTCCATTTATATAAAATTCTAGAAAAAGTAAACTAACCTATAGTGACAGATGCATCAGTGGTTGCCTGGGGCTTTGGGGTCAGGGAAGAACAGAAGGAAGAGACTGCAAAGGGTTAAGAGGAAGCTTTGGGGATGATGGATATGTTCATTATCTTAACTGTGGTAATGGTTTCACAGGTGTATATAAATGTCAAAACATCACATTTTATACTTTAAACACATACAGTTTATTATATGTCAATTATATTTCAATAAAGCTGTTAACTTTTAAAATTAGCAGTTCAGTTTGTCAGTTACAATTATCCTATTTCAAGTTTTTTATAGCCACATGTGGCTAGTGGCTACCATTTTGGATAGCACAAGTGTAGAACATTTCCATCACTGCTCAAAGTACTACTGGACAGCATGGATCTAATTCAGACATAAAAAAGCATCTGTTTCTTTTAATTGTTCTATATCTACCTACCCCAAACTTTAAGAATGGGATAGGCATGGCAGCACGGAACTGATACATAAATTGCCTGAGAACTTCAAAAAGCAGGTTTTATTAAGTTTATCTTAATGTAACTTTGCTATGAAGCAAAATATACCTTCTATTCATAACATATAGCACCCTGTTTCCTCATTTAGACATCACAGCTTCTATGGATTACATTTAATTAGTTTCCTCCAAAGCTCAAGTTGAGGGCAATTTTAAACTAAGGGACACGGAAAAATGAAACAGATAACACTCTCTTGGAACTTACTTTCTCCTTGTAATCAAAGTGGTTATAGCTTCCATATAACTACTAAATGAGACTAGACATTTGTTTCATATACTCACGGATATCTTATGACTTAATCTGAAATAGGTAGCATATTTCAAAATATGCTACATAATGCAACTGAATTTTCCTATTTAAAAGAATCAAGCATATAACTTACAACAAATATAATTAGAAGTTTCAAATGTGAGAACAGACGTGAAAATAGAATACTATGGTATGCACTGAAACGTTTCACATTCAACAAATGGTTCATAAAATCAGGACAGAGAAGTTGTTCAACTTAATATCCTTACTGAAGCTATTTCCCCCATTACTATAGCTCTCAGTTTTGAGAGAGGTGATTTTATTTAAAAAGACTCGAACTCTGTTTTCTGCCCCCATCCTTGTAGCCTACGGACTTGGAAGGCAGGGTCTATGTTTGCTCGGGGTTTTTGTTTCTGTGTACAGAATGCAGGGCTGAAACCTCAACCGTCCCTGTTCCAAAGCCGTGTACACTAACCCTTTATGCACAGTTTGATATCTGAGTCATCTCTGTCTTTGAAATGAAATATAGAAAAAGGTAACTGGGGCCAGGGGGAGAAGGGAGGCTGGTAGCCAGTGTAGACCAACCCAGACAACCCCCAAACGGTATATTATAGTAGATAAGCAAGAAGTATAAAACTAGAAACCAAGTCCCTGTGTTAGCTGCAGAAGCAGAACTCAGAAGCCAGTTTCACTTACTTTTTTACACCGACAGAGCCATTTTCCTTGTTTTCCATGTCAACAGATAGCATGGGAAGGCTGCAGGGTTCCTTTACTTCAGCAACTAATCAATAAGGGAGAAAAGCTTGTGTTTAATTCTTAGAAAGTGAGAAGAATATATAATCTGAGTCGAACACATAATGGTCCCTTTTACAGCTTCACACCAGTTCACGCATGTTTGTTTAAATCTCCAGTTCCCTCAGCGATTGGAGAGATGTGATTAAACCTAAAGGACTGGAGGAGACGGATTGGGGTACTTTCATCTGTACTGGCACTCCCTGGCTCGACAATAAGCATTTGCAAATGAAGTTGAATCCCCGTTCAAAACAAGTGCTGTGTGAACTGGCACAGCTTTCTCTGGGTGCCAAGCTCTCAAGACATTGCAACTCATAAATGAGTCAAAGTAAAGCAAAACAATCCCCGTTTTCCTGCCCCTTCCCACCACGGGCTGTGATTTCTTTTTTCTTAGTGCATTTGTTTTTCTGTCCACTCCCACTCCTATTATTTTTCCATCACAAAGCAAAAGAGCACTTTAAGCTTTTGTCAGTAAGTATCCCCCTACCTCACATATTCTCAACGAAAACCTCAAAAACCTGTCTGTGAGATGGCCATTCTGAGGTAAAGCTGGAAGCTCACAAAAATGTCAGATAGCCCTTAGCACAGAAAGGTGGTGCTGGGGTGTGTGTGTGTGTGTGTGTGTCTGTGTGTGTGTCTGTGTGTGTGTGTGTGTGTAACAGAGGGTAGGCAGCTCATTAGATTTACGTAAAAATCACCAAAACATTCAAGGAGATATAGTAGCATCCATCACTTTGTTTTTTGTTTAGTATGATGAGGACTGTAAAAAAATAAAAACCCTCCACAATTAATATACAATTAGCAAGATGAAAAAGCTATCAACAAAACTGCTTTAAAAAACTAGTTCTGAACCGTGCTTGTTCTTCTACAGCTGAAGCCATAAATTAAATACATTTCCTCTCAAATCACTTTCTACTCCGGCACTCCTTCTCTAGGGATTACTCTGACATGACAAGTGCATCATTTAGTATATTCACAAGATTTTATCACTGTTAGAGAAGTAGATGATTAACAAATAATACTGTAAGTGTGGGATAATCTTCACTCCTGATCCACGCACACACACACAAACTTCCAGTTGCTAGACCACTTAGATCATTCATAGAGAAAGCCAACATTTAATAGATAGATAGATATTAACATACATTCGCACACCGTTACAGAGTAGACAGAAGCTAGTGCTGCTGCCCCATGCCAAAAGAATGATTTCACTTCAGTTGGAAACTGTTACACATTCACCATTTTCTAAGCATCTCAGAAAAAACAAAACAAAACAAAACACAATGATACTCTGTAACACCACACTACATTGTCCTATTATTAGTATTATTTTCTTTTTTGTGGAAGAGTAAAAAGAAAACCTACCTAGAAGCAACTAAAACATGTCATATTTTATAGGCTTATCAAGAACAGCCAAAGAAACCCCAATGTTTTCTTTCACAAAGTAGGCTGGCAAAGGAATTCAATAAGGAGGTACAATTTGACACAGTGAAATAAAATCAGGCTGGCTCTCAGCCAACATGACGTTCGGAATCACACACAGGCTGCACCAACTGCCTTCTGGTTCATGGCTGACTTTTTAAAGCTACAGTGTGCCTGTTCACTTTGGCTAACTACCTTCAGAACAATTAATGGAAGTGAATGAATCACAAGTCCCAAACTGCAGAATTCTCCCTGCATCTGTCTTGTACAAAGAAAAACAAGCTGCTATCAATAGCCTCTTATTTTCTCCCTCCCCTTCGTTGTTGCTGCATGATACGTCTTGGCTGTTGTTCTGAGCATGAATGTCATGCTTCAAACTATTTCTTTTTCTCCCCTGTGGGAGAAAAAATAAGAGAAAATAAGAGAAAGAACCCAGTGCTCTTGGGCTACAAACAGCGAACACACAGAAGCTGCAGTTACTCTTTCTTCCTAATAGAGACTTGAGGACAAAGTTCCCAGGGCTGGCTTTTAAGTAATCTCTTTGTGAGAATAAGGAAAACACTGCCCAGCAGAAAATCCTTTTACTTCATTATGCAGGAAGTAACATATTTCAGAGAGGATGCAAAGTAGATGACCAGATCTCCTGAGAACACCCACATTCTTTTATTTTGGCATTCATCCTACCAAAGTCAGCAAAAATTCAAAATGAAACAAATCTTATTTTACAAAACAATTAGTTCTGATTTTAACTGTTTATCCCAGTTGCACAAATAGCATAATTCAACAGATTCAACTAACACTTATTATCTATGAGCACCTGGTACTATATTAGTTACGTATGACAAAGAAGATATTGTGCCAACTCCCAAATTCATAGTATCTCCCACCCACCACCATCCCAAATCCCAATTCAGGAAATTGGGAGGTGGAGTAGAGAGACTGGGCATGATCTTTTAATTGTGACCCTGGTCAATGTCACAGTTCTTTTGCTTGGCTGGGAACCACTGCTGGAGGGAAACATTCGCATTCCACAAACTTGCTGCAGATGCACAGGAAACATACATAGTTGTCATTGAAATAAACACCAATCAACACAGGGCAGAGAATATAGGTCCCCAAGAAGGATCCTAGAAAAAGTCATCTGCTGCTGTAACACTGTGTAGATTTCAGGCAGAATTGAGGAGAAAGCTGCCGGTCTCTCTTTTCTTTAGTAACTTTTAAGGGCACTAGAAGATCAGCAACTATGATTTAAATTTGCAACCTTAATTTCAGTCAAAATTTTTTTCCTTACTTATTCCAGGAATATTAGAAATTTTCAAGTTCTCGAAAGATCATCACTGAGAAAGATTTCAAGTGTTCTCCCTGCCTGGCTTTGCCATTACACCTTGAAAAAGCAAACAATAATAATTTAGGGACAAATTCTAAGTGTTCATATATTTTTGAGCACCATTTTTTGAGCATGAGTCAAACAGGTGGGTCTTTTACAATTGTTGATCAAAATGATGAACTCTTCTGGAGATAGAGAGCTCTTTCACCAACAGATTTCAAACGTTTTTGGACTTAATCTGAAATTTCTGAACTGTTCTCCAATAAAATTCAAATGGAAGGGGGCTGGGCTGTGAGTCCTGGGGGCAAGGGAGGTGGGGGGAGGGTGTCCTGACAGCACTTGTCACACTACCGCTCAGAACAAAATTAGGTTCAGCTCACCACTCTTGAAAGAAGAGGCAAAGGAAATGTAGTTACACCCAACTCTTCCTTAGACACTCACAGGAGGAAGGATTCTGTGAAGTTTCTCCAAGAATTTCTTTCTACATATAGAAAAGGACATCCCCTCCTGTCTTGCCTGCTGTGATCAAAAGTCTGCCTATTAGACAAGGATAAGGGTTTCAGAAGGTGTGTAGGAAATCAATTTCATTTTATAAAAAATGAGCCATAAAGGCATTCTAAATTCTGACAACAGGAGGTTTCACTTATCAGCTAGCTTCTAACTTGGGAATTAATTGACTTCTGTGGGTATAAGTATATACATTAGTACTCACTTCCTCCTCACTCCCTCCAACAAACTATTAACCCTCTTCTCTAATAAAAAAGATGTGTATTTGTGTGTAGCATGTGTATGGTATGTTTGTAGTGTGTAGCATAAATGAAGTATGCGTGTTATGTTTGTGTGAGTGTAATGTGTGTGCTATGTGTGATGTATGTGTGCTTTGTGCGTGTGTTTGTGGTGTGTGTAGTATATGGTATGTGTGTGTTTGTAGAATGTGTAGTGTGCACGGTTGTGTGTGTAGTGTGTAAGTGTAGGGTGAGAGAGAGAGATGCAAACAAACAAGACCTTCTGATCCAGGGTATTATGTGATGTGCTACCACAACTTGGGAAACCCTCGTGTTGGGATTTTGGGGCAAGAATTTCGGGCACACTGAGGAATGGGCTCAGACAGGAGGGGAGATGACGGGTCAGGACGAGTAGGAAACTGGTCAACTGGTGCCTCCGTTCGGCCTCTTTTATTGATCAGCACTCATTCCCCTGAGAAAGCAGACTCGCTCAAAGAGGGCGCCGTCCCCAAACAACCCCCCACTCCTGCCTCCCCATCGGCAATCGCTCCCTAGGAGTGTCCAGCCCGCGTCGCAGAGCAGAGCGCAGACCTGGGTCCACCTGGCTGCAGAAGAAATCTCGAGAAGTAGCCCGAGGGCAGGGCAGCGCTCAATGGGTCCCCTAGGGTGTCTCAAGGGAAAGTGAGGAGTGGAGCCTGGAGAGGGAGCGCTGGAGGCAGGACAGACGACAGGAGAGGGGACACCGGGAAGCCTCTTGACCAGCGGCGCCGTCCGAGAACCAAACGACTCGCTTGTGGCACCGGCGACAGAGGGGAAAGTTTTTGGCTCAGACTTTCAAGAAGAAACCGTTCGACTTCTAGTTTGGGGCTCCCTGAGGGAAGCAGTCTGTGGGAAGGAGAGCGGGGGTGTGGCGCTCGCTGTGCGCCCAGCTGAGCCGTGCCACCACCTCGTCCCATCCTGCAGGCTCCGCCTCGCAGCCCCCGGGGAGCCCCAGCTCCACGCGGGGCCGGGCACGCTTCTGCCCCCAGTTCTACTCTGCGGTGGCAGATTCCACGCTCGTGGTGCAACAAGCTGCAGGGACACAGGACACAGCAGAGACGAGGGAGGGCAGGGTGGTTTTTACTGTGGTTTGCTTCGTTTCCTTTCATCCTGGAGAGGGGAGAGGGCGAGCGCGTTCCTACAGCCCTCGCAGCACGAGCGAACCACTTACCTCCCCGCATGGCCGGCGCCGGGGGCTGTCCCCCGCGCAGCGCTCGGCGGCGCCACGCGCCCAGCCCCAGTGCGGCCGGCGGGCGGGCGCGCGGCACGCCGGGACTTGTAGTCCTCCGCGGGCGGGCGGGGGTCCGAGAGCTGGGGCCAGAAGGGAGAGAGGGAAGCCAGGAAGAGAAGAGAAGGGACCCGGGCAGGGGCCTTGTGAATATAAGGGAGGACGTTTGCAAGAACTTATAACCTCCAGGGAGCCAGAGGGAAGGGATCACTCCAAGAGAGACTTTTAAATTGGGGATTTTCAGGCTAACACCATTTTCTTCCTGTCTTACTGGCTCATGGCAACCCTGATGAAGTTTTAAGCTGGATTTTGGCAGTAACGACAAGTAGAGATTTCCCAGGCCAAGTACATATTTAGGGCCTTACTTCCCTTCGCCCCAAAACACATGGGGCTTTCTCTGCTTGGAGCACCTATTCTGTCGCTCACAGAATAACTCGGTTGAAGCCCCGGGCATGCAAAGGAAGGGTGAATGATACACCTGACATTTGTAGAGCACTCTACAGTTAACAAAGCACTTTTTACTTAATTGCTTCATTATAGTAGAACCATAAAGCCACACTTAGTTAGGCAGAGAAAGACTCAAGATGCACGGAGTTTTTTGTAGCACCCGCGGAGGCTGGAGCCACTCCTCCCTATTCTTGTCCTTCTCCAACCCTTCCCTCAGCAGCTGGGAAGAGATAGTGAGGAGAAGGCGGGCTGAGGACAGATGTGGTGGGCACAGTGAAGGAAGAGGAGCCTGCTGTGAAGGAGTTTCTTGAAATAGCTGATGAATAAGTCCTTACTAAATAGGGAGATAAGTAAAACCAAAAGAAGAGCCTGGGGATTGGAAGAATGAAGTGGGAAGGAAACAGCAGGTGGGATAGGGATAGAGACTGAATTAAAAAGCAAAAACAAACAGAGATTTTAGAAGCCAGATAGACCTGGAATCCTGGTGTTGTCACTTCGAAGCTAGCTCTGTGACCTTAGGTAAATTATTTAAACTCCCCAAACCTCTTTTGCCTCATCTTTAAAATTTAAATAATAATAGTTCCTACTTTATGATGTGGCTGTGCAGATTAAAAGAGATGGGAATCACTTAGTATAAATAATATCATTTATAAATACTATTATTATCTGCAGAAGCTCCTTTTGTGGAAGTATCAAAAGATAAATTGGAGTAAAAGTACCAGTTAGGAGGTTGTGACAATATTCTAAGTTACAGGTGATGATGGCTTGAACTACAGCGATAGAAAGGAAGCAGATCTGAGACACTTCAGAGGGAAAACGGCCAGAGCAGTGCAATCAGTTGGATGTGGGAGTTGAGGAAGAGGGATCAAAGATGGTTGTCAGGTCTAGATTGAGTGAGTGGATGTCATTCACATAAATAGGTATAACTGATGGAATAATAGGTTTTGGAGGAAGATGACTAGTTTGATTTTGAACATATATAACTTGAGGCTTTCTGGGTATGAATGACAAAGTGGCAGCTGGGAGTGTGGATTTTGGATATCATGTGTAGAAATGGAAATTTGAGAGTCAATTACTTAGGAGAGGTAGTTGAAAAATGGAGAGCAAGAGGGAAGGGCAGCAGAGGTGGGCAGGGGGAAATGAGGAGTTAGACAATGACACCAGGCAGGAATTGGGGAAGGGGGAAAAGGAAAGGTACAGGAGTGCAGTGACATGGAAACCAAGGGAGGAAAGAGAAATGAGAAGCTTGTCAATGGGTCAAATACTATAGAGAGGTAGCCAATGGCAACAGAAATGAGGCCACTGGATTTACAGATCAAGAGTCTATTGGGATGGAACTGCCTCCAGGAGTTGTTCTGGCAATTTACCAAAGT